TTGGGTGCCGATCACATGGTTATCCTGCAGCGCGGCAAAGAAGCGGCGTGGCGCGATCACACTGGCAATCGCTAGGTGCCGCTTCCGTGGCAAACGGGATTTTTTTCCCCTCACCGCAGTGTGCACATGTGCTGGTGGGTGTTTGTGTGCATCCTGTGGAGACTAAAAAAAAAATCCGGTTTGCGACGGGACATGGGCGGGCGCCGGATGCCATGGGATTCCAGCGGAAATGAGATCAGACGCCCACCCTTGCCCTGCGTTTTCCGGAAACTAGCACATCTGGCCCTGGCCCCGACCTGGTGGAACTCCCTTCCAAATAACATCAGGTACCTGTGGGATGTTATGCAATTCCGCAGGGCCTGTAAGGCAGAGATGTTCCACCAGGCGTTTGGTTGAGGACAGCAACAGTTTCCATCTTGGCCGGCACCCTACCTGGACCCCCCATCGCTTGTGGGGCTTACCCCCTCCTCCGTGCTCGTGAAGCTCCCACGGACCAAAAATGGGAGGGAACCACAAAATATTGCTACTCACATTTAATTTTTGTATTATATGTTGGATGTGGTTTTACGGGTTTTAACCTGTCCATCGCCTAGAGCCCCACAACCGTGGGGATTAGGCGGCCCACAAATAGAATGTAATAATAAAATATGAATAATATTAGCGGGGACGCGTACGCAGCAGACCTCACGTGCCCCTGGTCCAGCTGCCCGCCCGACGCTTCTCTCGTACCCCCAGATTATGACCCGTCCCTCGGCAGCCAACAAGAACTTCCCTTACCACGTGCGGACGTCGCAGATCGGGATCGTAGAGGAGGCAGCCGCCGGGGCCAAGTTCCCCCACCACGTGTACGGCAACGTCACCTTCATCAGCGACTCGGTGCCAAACTTCACGGAGCTCTTCTCCATCCCCCAGAGCACAGGGAGCAGCAGCGCCAGCAACGTAAGCCCCCCTCAGGGTCAAAGGTGGCTCCGGGTTTCTCCTTCCACTTTGGGCCTCAAATTTATTTATTTATATTTATTTACCCCGCTCACCCCCTGAAAAGTATGCAGACGGAGAGTGATTTCAGCTAAGCATACCTTTATTTAGTTCAGGACAAAGACAAGGGACCAGCTCGCAGGCTGGTTTATATACGTTCAGAAAACCCGCCACCCTGTTTTCAAACGCATCCCCACAAGTGTGACAGCAAGAAACTTATTTTTTAAAAGAGAAAGGACAAAGAAAGTCAAAAGAATCCTGTATGGAATTGCCCCACCGGTCCCCACACACTTCCTAAAAACGTTTGGTGGGCACCAGGAAGGGTGTTGATTGGCCCTATGGTGCCCCGGGGGACCTTGTTGGGGACCCCTGCTTTAGAGTCCTTTGCAGATGGTGGTGTGTGTTTTGAATGCTCCTCTGCAAGTGTGAGAGTAAACCCTCCCCTTTTCTTTTTTTAACAAAGAAAAGGAATAATAAAGGAGAGTCAAAAGAAACCAAAGTGGAGAATCTCTGATAACTACACAGACGTCTCCTGCCTGCAGGGTGCAGAAGGAGAGAGGAAGGAGGGAACTTCTTAGTTCCAGGGGTCATTTTGTAGAAAAAGAGGTGCAGGAGCTCATTCACATAACTGATCGGCATAGCTTATTTGCATATGCCACGCCCCCTGACATCACCGGAAGTGTGTCAGAAGGCAACACCCACCACTCAGGCTCCACCGGACTGTTTTGGATTGCTAGCTATTGGGGGGGGGGCGTGCAGATCTGTTCTTGCAGAGGAGGGAGAGCTTGTACCTGAATAAAGGTTGGTCTTAAAGGTGCCACTGGACTGTTTCGAGCCGGGGGGGGGGCTCTGCAACTTACCTGGCTGCTTCTTGCTCTGACTGAGGGCTGCTGGGAGCAGGGGGTGGGGCTTGTTGCATGTGCCCGCCCCCTGAGCTCTGCTGGAGCTCTGCTTCTGTGCGCTCCTGCAGGAGAGGACCCCTGCTTAGTTCCATTATACCCCCAGGAGAGCTTTATGCTCTTCACAGAACAACTTGCTAGTCGTCCCTGGTCCTAGAGATATCCGACTGTCCTCAACCAGGGCCAGGGCCTTTTCGGTGGAACTCCCTTCCAAATAACATCAGGTACCTGTGGGGTGTTATGCAGTTCCGCAGGGCCTGTAAGGCAGAGATGTTCCACCGGGCGTTTGGTTGAGGACAGCAACAGTTTACATCTTGGCCGGCCTACCTGGACCCCCCATCGCCTGTGGGGCTTACCCCCTCCCCCGTGCTCGTGAAGCTCCCACGGACCAGAAATGGGAGGGAACCACAAAATATTGCTACTCACCTTTAATTTTTGTATATTATGTCGGATGTGGTTTTATGGGTTTTACAGGTATTAACCTGTCCATCGCCTAGAGCCCCACAACTGTGGGGATTAGGCGGCCCACAAATAGAATGTAATAATAAAATATGAATAATATTAGCGGGGACGCGTACGCAGCAGACCTCACGTGCCCCTGGTCCAGCTGCCCGCCCGACGCTTCTCTCGTACCCCCAGATTATGACCCGTCCCTCGGCAGCCAACAAGAACTTCCCTTACCACGTGCGGACGTCGCAGATCGGGATCGTAGAGGAGGCAGCCGCCGGGGCCAAGTTCCCCCACCACGTGTACGGCAACGTCACCTTCATCAGCGACTCGGTGCCAAACTTCACGGAGCTCTTCTCCATCCCCCAGAGCACAGGGAGCAGCAGCGCCAGCAACGTAAGCCCCCCTCAGGGTCAAAGGTGGCTCCGGTTTTCCCCTTCCACGTTGGGCCCCAAATTTATTTTTTATATTTATTTATACTTTCAGTTTGTACCCCGCTCACCCCCGAAGGGCTCTGAGTGGCTTACACAGTGCATGGTGCAGAGTCCTATGCAGAAACCCTAACTATGGCCACAGCACGTCTGGGGTGGGGGGAGCCCTACCAGGTACCCTCCCGGCTCCGATCGTTCGTTTTTATCCGGCGAGTGGGCGACTTCTTCCAGTCCTCTCCGGTGCGGCTTCCGCGGCCTCCGCTGTTCTTTCGGCTCTCTGGCGACTCCTCTCGGGGGCTGTTGGTTATGGGCCCTGGTGCGCAGCCGCGGTGGGCGTCACAACGTCCTTACGGCTCCGGACATCCTCCTGCTGGCCACGTCATCAGCTGCCGAGCCAACCGCCTCCTTGGGATGTCGCTGCCTCTCTTCATCTCCTCCGTGCTGACCGCCGCCGTGTTGCCGCCGCTTCTCGATTCCTCGCTCGGCTGGAGCCCAAGTTCGAGGGAATTTTGCTCTGCCGTCACTTGTTTCAGAGTCCACAACACCCCAGAGAGAAGGGGAGTTTGTCTCCTCCGCAGACACAGTGCTTAGCAGCTTGGTATTCAGAGGCAGGCGTGCCAGGGAGTTGGCCCAGGCAGTCTGTATAAAGGGACTGCTATGTCCACGGCAGGCCTTGGGGAGGCCCGCACAGCGCTTACACACTAGATTTGGTTCCTGGTCAGTAGGATACCGAAGAGTGGCAGTGCCATCCTGGGCAGTGTGGTGTAGTGGGTAGAGTAATGTAGCGGGTAGAGTTTGTCTCCTCCACAGACACCATGCTTAGCAGCTTGGTATTCAGAGGCGTGCCAGGGAGTTGTCCCGGGCAGTCCGTATAAAGGGACTGCTGTGTCCCAGGCAGGCCTTGGGGAGGCCCGCACAGCGCTTACACACTAGATTTGGTTCCCGGTCAGTTGGATACCGAAGAGCGGCAGTGCCATCCTGGGCAGTGTGGTGTAGTGGGTAGAGTAATGTAGCGGGTAGAGTGGCAGACTAGGATCCTGGGCGATCTGGTTTCGAATTCCCGCTTCTGCCACGGATGCTCGCTGGGTGACCTTGGGCCCATCACAAAGCCTCAGCCTGGCCTTCTACACAAGGCTGCCGTTGCGAGAGAACGGAGGAGGGGACAACGGCGTTCTAAAAGCCCCTTTGAATCCCGACCGGGGGGGGGGGGGGGAGAAGCAGGATAGGGGAGGCCCGCACAGCGCTTACACACTAGATTTGGTTCCTGGTCAGTAGGATACCGAAGAGTGGCAGTGCCATCCTGGGCAGTGTGGTGTAGTGGGTAGAGTAATGTAGCGGGTAGAGTTTGTCTCCTCCACAGACACCATGCTTAGCAGCTTGGTATTCAGAGGCGTGCCAGGGAGTTGTCCCGGGCAGTCCGTATAAAGGGACTGCTGTGTCCCAGGCAGGCCTTGGGGAGGCCCGCACAGCGCTTACACACTAGATTTGGTTCCTGGTCAGTAGGATACCGAAGAGTGGCAGTGCCATCCTGGGCAGTGTGGTGTAGTGGGTAGAGTAATGTAGCGGGTAGAGTTTGTCTCCTCCACAGACACCATGCTTAGCAGCTTGGTATTCAGAGGCGTGCCAGGGAGTTGTCCCGGGCAGTCCGTATAAAGGGACTGCTGTGTCCCAGGCAGGCCTTGGGGAGGCCCGCACAGCGCTTACACACTAGATTTGGTTCCTGGTCAGTAGGATACCGAAGAGTGGCAGTGCCATCCTGGGCAGTGTGGTGTAGTGGGTAGAGTAATGTAGCGGGTAGAGTTTGTCTCCTCCACAGACACCATGCTTAGCAGCTTGGTATTCAGAGGCGTGCCAGGGAGTTGTCCCGGGCAGTCCGTATAAAGGGACTGCTGTGTCCCAGGCAGGCCTTGGGGAGGCCCGCACAGCGCTTACACACTAGATTTGGTTCCTGGTCAGTAGGATACCGAAGAGTGGCAGTGCCATCCTGGGCAGTGTGGTGTAGTGGGTAGAGTAATGTAGCGGGTAGAGTTTGTCTCCTCCACAGACACCATGCTTAGCAGCTTGGTATTCAGAGGCGTGCCAGGGAGTTGTCCCGGGCAGTCCGTATAAAGGGACTGCTGTGTCCCAGGCAGGCCTTGGGGAGGCCCGCACAGCGCTTACACACTAGATTTGGTTCCTGGTCAGTAGGATACCGAAGAGTGGCAGTGCCATCCTGGGCAGTGTGGTGTAGTGGGTAGAGTAATGTAGCGGGTAGAGTTTGTCTCCTCCACAGACACCATGCTTAGCAGCTTGGTATTCAGAGGCGTGCCAGGGAGTTGTCCCGGGCAGTCCGTATAAAGGGACTGCTGTGTCCCAGGCAGGCCTTGGGGAGGCCCGCACAGCGCTTACACACTAGATTTGGTTCCTGGTCAGTAGGATACCGAAGAGTGGCAGTGCCATCCTGGGCAGTGTGGTGTAGTGGGTAGAGTAATGTAGCGGGTAGAGTTTGTCTCCTCCACAGACACCATGCTTAGCAGCTTGGTATTCAGAGGCGTGCCAGGGAGTTGTCCCGGGCAGTCCGTATAAAGGGACTGCTGTGTCCCAGGCAGGCCTTGGGGAGGCCCGCACAGCGCTTACACACTAGATTTGGTTCCTGGTCAGTAGGATACCGAAGAGTGGCAGTGCCATCCTGGGCAGTGTGGTGTAGTGGGTAGAGTAATGTAGCGGGTAGAGTTTGTCTCCTCCACAGACACCATGCTTAGCAGCTTGGTATTCAGAGGCGTGCCAGGGAGTTGTCCCGGGCAGTCCGTATAAAGGGACTGCTGTGTCCCAGGCAGGCCTTGGGGAGGCCCGCACAGCGCTTACACACTAGATTTGGTTCCTGGTCAGTAGGATACCGAAGAGTGGCAGTGCCATCCTGGGCAGTGTGGTGTAGTGGGTAGAGTAATGTAGCGGGTAGAGTTTGTCTCCTCCACAGACACCATGCTTAGCAGCTTGGTATTCAGAGGCGTGCCAGGGAGTTGTCCCGGGCAGTCCGTATAAAGGGACTGCTGTGTCCCAGGCAGGCCTTGGGGAGGCCCGCACAGCGCTTACACACTAGATTTGGTTCCTGGTCAGTAGGATACCGAAGAGTGGCAGTGCCATCCTGGGCAGTGTGGTGTAGTGGGTAGAGTAATGTAGCGGGTAGAGTTTGTCTCCTCCACAGACACCATGCTTAGCAGCTTGGTATTCAGAGGCGTGCCAGGGAGTTGTCCCGGGCAGTCCGTATAAAGGGACTGCTGTGTCCCAGGCAGGCCTTGGGGAGGCCCGCACAGCGCTTACACACTAGATTTGGTTCCTGGTCAGTAGGATACCGAAGAGTGGCAGTGCCATCCTGGGCAGTGTGGTGTAGTGGGTAGAGTAATGTAGCGGGTAGAGTTTGTCTCCTCCACAGACACCATGCTTAGCAGCTTGGTATTCAGAGGCGTGCCAGGGAGTTGTCCCGGGCAGTCCGTATAAAGGGACTGCTGTGTCCCAGGCAGGCCTTGGGGAGGCCCGCACAGCGCTTACACACTAGATTTGGTTCCTGGTCAGTAGGATACCGAAGAGTGGCAGTGCCATCCTGGGCAGTGTGGTGTAGTGGGTAGAGTAATGTAGCGGGTAGAGTTTGTCTCCTCCACAGACACCATGCTTAGCAGCTTGGTATTCAGAGGCGTGCCAGGGAGTTGTCCCGGGCAGTCCGTATAAAGGGACTGCTGTGTCCCAGGCAGGCCTTGGGGAGGCCCGCACAGCGCTTACACACTAGATTTGGTTCCTGGTCAGTAGGATACCGAAGAGTGGCAGTGCCATCCTGGGCAGTGTGGTGTAGTGGGTAGAGTAATGTAGCGGGTAGAGTTTGTCTCCTCCACAGACACCATGCTTAGCAGCTTGGTATTCAGAGGCGTGCCAGGGAGTTGTCCCGGGCAGTCCGTATAAAGGGACTGCTGTGTCCCAGGCAGGCCTTGGGGAGGCCCGCACAGCGCTTACACACTAGATTTGGTTCCTGGTCAGTAGGATACCGAAGAGTGGCAGTGCCATCCTGGGCAGTGTGGTGTAGTGGGTAGAGTAATGTAGCGGGTAGAGTTTGTCTCCTCCACAGACACCATGCTTAGCAGCTTGGTATTCAGAGGCGTGCCAGGGAGTTGTCCCGGGCAGTCCGTATAAAGGGACTGCTGTGTCCCAGGCAGGCCTTGGGGAGGCCCGCACAGCGCTTACACACTAGATTTGGTTCCTGGTCAGTAGGATACCGAAGAGTGGCAGTGCCATCCTGGGCAGTGTGGTGTAGTGGGTAGAGTAATGTAGCGGGTAGAGTTTGTCTCCTCCACAGACACCATGCTTAGCAGCTTGGTATTCAGAGGCGTGCCAGGGAGTTGTCCCGGGCAGTCCGTATAAAGGGACTGCTGTGTCCCAGGCAGGCCTTGGGGAGGCCCGCACAGCGCTTACACACTAGATTTGGTTCCTGGTCAGTAGGATACCGAAGAGTGGCAGTGCCATCCTGGGCAGTGTGGTGTAGTGGGTAGAGTAATGTAGCGGGTAGAGTTTGTCTCCTCCACAGACACCATGCTTAGCAGCTTGGTATTCAGAGGCGTGCCAGGGAGTTGTCCCGGGCAGTCCGTATAAAGGGACTGCTGTGTCCCAGGCAGGCCTTGGGGAGGCCCGCACAGCGCTTACACACTAGATTTGGTTCCTGGTCAGTAGGATACCGAAGAGTGGCAGTGCCATCCTGGGCAGTGTGGTGTAGTGGGTAGAGTAATGTAGCGGGTAGAGTTTGTCTCCTCCACAGACACCATGCTTAGCAGCTTGGTATTCAGAGGCGTGCCAGGGAGTTGTCCCGGGCAGTCCGTATAAAGGGACTGCTGTGTCCCAGGCAGGCCTTGGGGAGGCCCGCACAGCGCTTACACACTAGATTTGGTTCCTGGTCAGTAGGATACCGAAGAGTGGCAGTGCCATCCTGGGCAGTGTGGTGTAGTGGGTAGAGTAATGTAGCGGGTAGAGTTTGTCTCCTCCACAGACACCATGCTTAGCAGCTTGGTATTCAGAGGCGTGCCAGGGAGTTGTCCCGGGCAGTCCGTATAAAGGGACTGCTGTGTCCCAGGCAGGCCTTGGGGAGGCCCGCACAGCGCTTACACACTAGATTTGGTTCCTGGTCAGTAGGATACCGAAGAGTGGCAGTGCCATCCTGGGCAGTGTGGTGTAGTGGGTAGAGTAATGTAGCGGGTAGAGTTTGTCTCCTCCACAGACACCATGCTTAGCAGCTTGGTATTCAGAGGCGTGCCAGGGAGTTGTCCCGGGCAGTCCGTATAAAGGGACTGCTGTGTCCCAGGCAGGCCTTGGGGAGGCCCGCACAGCGCTTACACACTAGATTTGGTTCCCGGTCAGTTGGATACCGAAGAGCGGCAGTGCCATCCTGGGCAGTGTCGTGTAGTGGGTAGAGTAATGTAGCGGGTAGAGTGGCAGACTAGGATCCTGGGCGATCTGGGTTCGAATTCCCGCTTCTGCCACGAATGCTCGCTGGGTGACCTTGGGCCCATCACGAAGCCTCAGCCTGGCCTACCACACAAGGCTGCCGTTGTGAGAGAACGGAGGAGGGGACAACGGCGTTCTAAAAGCCCCTTTGAATCC